CCAAAGGGAAATTCAGCTGACTTCTGAACTTACCTCAAGGCTGCACCCTACAGTAAAACTGATTCCCTTGTCCATCTCCCCTGGCTAGGTGGCATCATTGGCTATTGTGGCCAAGAATGGTGGAAGCTATGGTCCAAGGCTTAAGGATGATAGCCAGCTGAACCCAAGGAAGCCTGTGTCTGAAACCCTATCTAAATAAATGTTTGATCCAATGGATCACTTCTTTCCAAAGAATCCATAGCTATGAATTTGGCACCAGGTGGTCAGGGTAAATTGGAATTTTTAATTAAAACCTTTCTTACATTTTTTTTTAAAAAATAAGGAAACAAAGTACTGCAGTTTTGTCCATCTGAATAAATGTGCTGCTTTGAACGGGTAGGAGCCAATAATGGAGAACTAGAAAAATGTAATGAATTGTGGTTGTTTGTGCTAATTCAGCAGTTTAGAGTTGTGACATTTGATACCCTTCATTATTAAATAAGGCCTCCTGGGTGAAAGCATGAAAGCCTAACATAGTACAAATGGTGCTTTTGTACTTTTTTAGTTTCTGCCAGCAAACACCCAATCTGATGCCCCCATGTGCTGGATTTTGATTGCTAGAATTGCCAGCCAGCAATGGACTTTGTGCCTAATGGCTCAGGATGATGGGAATAAGAGTCCATCATATTTGAAAGACAGGAGGAAAGGATGAAGGCATGGAAGGTCACTAGGAAATTAGGGAGTGAGGATTCAGAACCTAGTCAAGACTGTCAAAACCTTGAGGGGTTTGTCAAAGCACACTTGCAGAGAGCTGAAGAAGATCCCAAATCAGAATTTTTCATGCAAGAAAAATATCATTTGAAGGGTCCTTGGTGCACTCCAAGCTTGCTAGTTTTCTTGCAGACGTTTCATTGCACGAACCGAGGTAACATCAATGCTAGTAAGGAGTAAGTAATTTCTTACTAGCACCAATGATGTTACCTAGTTTGGGTAGTAAAACCTCTGCAAGAAAACAAGCAAGCTCAGAGAACACCAAAACCCCCTCATTTCAATCCTGAGCTACAAATATTCTCCTTTATTGGTAAAACATAATTTAGTGCATGTCTGTCTTTCATGTAGCTGCAGTTAAGATCGCTGCAGCTTTCGGCAGAACTATGGGTGGGCTAGTCACTGATAAGTATCATGGACAACCTAGAAAGTCCATTTTAAGTAAGATGCTCACTGGCTCGTGCATAGATCGTAAGAGGGCTAAAGAGGGTTAGGAGGCAGTTTTACAAGGCCACCATCCGCAAACGGCGTCTAAACTCTAACTGGCTTTTAAAAACCTTTTCCTGGAATCGGATCACGTTTAAGCAGGGCAACCATCAAATCGATTACTCTGGTTTAATTTTTTTTTAAAGTGGATATTCTAGATTACCGGTAAGAGGGAGGATGTCCTTTGGGGTGTCCCACACGACCCTTTTGTGGGAAGTCCCGAGGAAGACTCTTAAAGAAAGAGCTGAAGAAGCTTCTTGGATGAGAAGCGAATCGTCTTCAAAGAAAAAATAAGGAAGTCCAGTTGCCTCTTGAAAAAAAGCACATTTGAGACAACCATGACCTGGATGACTGAGAATCTCCATAGATACTCTTAAAGAAAAACGTAATCCAGACAGGATCCGTCCCTACGTCCTGCTTTGAAGTTTTGTAAATTTAAATGGTAATTTGCAATTTTATGGGGGTGGCCACAGGAGGGGGAGGGCAACTGTATTGGCTATGGTTAAAAAAAAAAAAGTAAAAATATCGGGCCCTACGATTTTAAATTGTGCCGTCACGAGCGCCATTTGACTCTTTTGACCGTACCCTGAAGACATACTTGGGGCATGAGGAACTTGTTTCGCACTTGCTGAAACTGTGTAAACTGCGGAATGGAAAAAGTCGTCAATCAAACCAAAGAGACTGAAAATATCCCAAGTGGAAGAAGCGGGTCAATTTTATCTCTGGGCCTAGAAGCGGAAGGCTAACTTTCCCATGAGCCCTTGAGGAGATGCTTCGTTGCTTGAATTTAGCTCTCGTGCAAACGGCTGCCCTATTAAACGTTTTTCTCTGTTTGTATAGTGTGTATGTATATATTGGGGTGGGGCGTGTTGGGGTTGGGAGGGGGGGAAATCCTCCCAACCGATAAAGCGTATCAGGCGATCGAGCGTTTCCCAACTTTAAAGAGATTAAATTCACGCAACCCGCTAAGCCTTCGCGGGCGTCGTTTCGTTTGGTTTAGAGAGCGAGGTACGAATTCTGTCTCCATTTCTGGCTGCAAACTTAAAACCGGTCTGTTAAATAGGGAGAGGCAAGAGTGCCAATGGAGTCCCCGATATAAACTGAGAAATATGGGATGTGTGTGTGTTCCTTAGGTCACTTTTGATTTGCATGGATTTACAAAGAAAAGCATTGTAGAACTCTGAAGTTACTTGCAGGGGGGGGGGTTGGTACGAGAAATCGGGAGCTGCTGAGCAAAATTGTTATCTTCAGATTCTTCTTTTAAAAGAAATAAAACTCAACTCTGAACGATGGAATTATATCCGTGGGATGCAGGGGAGTGGTTTTGAACTGGGAGGCCCAGGTTAAAATTCCTCTCTGCAAGAAAAGTTCCCCTCATCCCAGTCTATTTCACCTGGCCAGGAATATCATGTAAAGCCATCATGTACTCCTGGTAGAGGCAGCATATACATTTAACAAGCTAGCAAGATTCCTAATTAGCTTTCCAGTTAAACTTCAGTTTCTTGCTTTTATTGGGCCAGGTCTGAGGAGAAGAAATTAAATTGGTGGTAACACTTATCTTCATTCTGATGCCACTGTGCATTGCTATATTTGTTAAAATCCACTTATTTTCAAGGGAGCTTGATTTGAGGAGTTGCCTTCTTGTTTCATCCAAAAAGCTCAAAATATACTAGATTTAAGCTTGGGAAATCAATAAATGAAACTAGACAAGGCTTTCTGAGTGTGAGAGAGTTTGCACTGCTACTCTTTCCTTTTCGAGCTTCATTCAATTAACTTCATCCTAATTCCTACTCGGATTTAATTAACAAAGTCATTTGTAAAATAGTGATTCCCTAAGCTCATAACAATGTAGTTCCAAGGTGGAGGAATTGATAATGGGTCCTGGGAATAACTCAGTCCACTAAAAAGCACGTGCTGTTGAGCTTAAAGTCTTGTATATTTTGTGTGTGTGGGTGGTCCTAGCCCAAATCCCTTTAAAAAGTATTTCTCAAGGCAGTTGTGAAATAGTTCCATGGAGAACTGAGATTTATACCAGGGAAGTGAAAAGGAACATGGCTAATCTCTCCTTTTCCCTTGGGTGCCATAATAATTGGTTTAAAATCTGATTTTTCCATCTGAGAATCGGTTAAGTTAGGTTTTTTTCTAAATTTAGACTTAGGTGAAGCAGGAAAACATTCTGTGTTTTAGGTACTTGCCCTGCTGCCTCAACTGCATTCTTGCGAAGACAAATGTTTTTCTCCTTTTAATTTGTTAAAACTGTCCCCTGACAATCTTTCAGAAGAATCTGGGAGGAAGTAAGAGGAGGGGATTGTGTTTCAACCAGGTTTACTCCTTGCAAAATATTTCCTCTCCCTTTCATCCATTGCTATAGCAAGTCCTACTGAGTGCAGTGTCACTTTTTAATTCAAAACCTTAGCACGTTTAGAGCATTCTGTTTCTCTTTTGAGGTTCTGATTGCTGGCTTTGAATTAGAGCAATGGCTGAAAAGTTTGGACTGCAAAGTTCCTATCCAGAAAAATGTTTGGAAGTGCCATGCCCAACAGCCCCCTCCCACTTGCTCTGTGAGACTTGCAAGGCATTAGAAGAAGAGAACTGATTGGTGGGAAGCTACTTGCTGTCCTCCAAATGTGTTGGACTTCAACTCACATCAGCCCTCAGCCAGCAATCCCATAGCAAAGGGTTGTGGGAATTGTAGTTCAAAGCATAGTTCAAATTAACAATGTGCCAGAGAAAATGTGGTAGCCTTTTGCCTTTAACAGAAGTATTTCCCAATCAAAGCTGCAGGTTGATTAGCATTGATTAAAAAGGAGAGAATTCCAAATGTGCAGCAAAGTCCCGCATTCCTTCAGCTCTGCATTATTACTATTGAGAAGCAGAAATGCAACAGGTATGATTCTTAAATCTTTTGCAACCCATTACTGTATTTTTGAAATGGGATTGTCATTCCTCCAACTCTCCGCAATTTGATTTAGCATCGCTAGAAGACTAAGATATGATCCATTTTTTTTGTTCCTTTTGTACAATCAGGGTGAGGAATTTTACCAGATTGGAATATAGAATCTCAAACTCTCAGCTGCCCCAGATAGCATAGCCAGTGAAGGATGCTGGGTGAGAGTTGTAATTCAGCAATCCAGAGAGGAATATAGGTTTTCCATGTCTAAAGAGTAAAACTAAGGGATGTATTTTTAATACCGTAGTATAAGGCCAAATTTGGAAAAAAAGGGGTGGGAGAATCTTTTTTATTCTCATGATTCAAGAGGTCTCCCCCCTTTGCATTTTGTAAAATTTGCTAACCTAGACAAAACTTACACAGCAAAGTCCTATCAAACAGTCTATTCAGAAGGAGCTTTCACTGAATATTCCCAAACCAGAGGACACAGGATTGGGAACCCAGTAATTCCAATGGGATTTATTCTATTATAGGCGTTGTACCCCAGCCCTGTGCCCAACTGGCTTGGTGAGTCTTATTAAACAGTACAGTATTGTTCCACTTATTTCCAAGGGAAAGAAATGACAAGTAACAACCAATTTCCTTTAGATGGTGTTCCTGGTTAGTTTCAAGGAGCCTCCTCCCAAATCTTGCATGGATGTCAATCACTTGTCCTTCTCCGGGTTTTTCCCCCCTTTCATATACAGGTACAGAGTTATTTTTGCCCCTGTTCATTCTGTCTCTTCCCCAGCTTCATTTCTTCTGATACTGCCCACTTTGAAAGCAGGGACCCTTGGAATAAACACAGGCAACTCCAAATTCAAGACTTTTTTTTTTAAAAAAATCATCTTTTATTTCAAAATTATCTTGATCCCGATTTTCATGAACCCATGCAGACATACAAAGATTTTGCAACAGGCAGTTTCTGAAAGTATTCTCCCTTTTCAGGGCAACACATTTGGTTATTCCTACTTAGTCCTCCTCCTGCTTTGGAAGAGTCTGACTGGACCCCAGCCGATGCAGTTATCAGGATATAACCAACAGAGCATTTGTTTCATGGATGGGAGTGAAGGGAAAGGACAATGAACTAGGTTTAGCAAACAAGCTCACATCAATGTGGTGGGGAATCATATTTATTTTTTAAAAAATATATGTATATTTGCATTGAAATAAAAAAATGAGAAAAAAGATAGCCTGCATTTATTTAAACATCAGAGTTTTGCAGGTTATAAATAACTTAATCCCTACAGTTCATAGGGAGAGGTATGTGCAACAAGAACCCCAAGTTCAGTGAAAACTTGGCACTTTTCCTGTTCAATCCAGAAGTGAAATGCCAACAAAGCATTCTTAAACAAAACCCTGATTCCATTAATTCAGTGTTTAAAGTCATGATTCTCATCCAGTTACTCCTCTGCCTCGAGCCTGCTGTAAATCAGTTTAAGACTGCAGTACTAGAGCAGAGTTTACCCCAGAATACATGTGATGAAATTCAGTAGACTAACATCTATAAAATCACTCCTTTTTCTCCTTCCCAGCTCTCTGGACCCCAAGGCAAACTTCTCAATATCCACCCCCTCCAACATTAGTCACCATTTAAAGAGCTAGTGCTTATATTCAAGGGAAAGGGACTTGCTGATGCCTGACGTTCTTGGAGAGGGAAAGAGAAGCTATCCCAGTCAGTTGCATTTGTATTAGCACTGTTGGATATGGGCGGCAGAACTCTGGAAGGCTAATAGATGGCAGTAAAGACTTAGAATGTTCCACATCTATTTGGCTGCCATCTAGTGGCAGCCCTAGCCAGTCTCTACTGGGACCGGCTGCTGTAGATGCCAGTCCTGGAAAAGACTGCAACCATGGTTTACCATCACCCCCCCTTTTAGACTGAAGCCTAGCTAGGGCCCATTATACTTATTGGCCCCAAGGTCGCCAACTCCATTCCTTGGCTATTTGTGTGCCATACTGCTCCCTCCTCTAACACTTGTTTTTCTGTAAGCTAGCACACTCTGCCTTGGAGTCCAGCATTACAGGAGTTTCCTTGCTGGAAGGGCACTGCCTGACATGACATTTGAGGATCTCCCAAATGACAGATATAAGGGCTGCTCAAGTCGATTGACTGGCCTTGCTTCCACTGCATAGGCCTGTTTCAGAGTGACCTCACTTTTTCAGAGGGATCTCATTTTCTCCCAGCTGCACTGCAATTAGGCTGTCCTTGAGCCACCTTACTACGGAACTGAAAAATGCTTACTGACCTAAGTAATGCATGCCCAGATGCTAATCTTCTTGCTTGGCCTAAAGCTGCTCTGGGAGTTTAGGTCCCTTTGCGTTCCCGAGGGTTTGCTCCAAGCTGAAGGGTGCGTAGGATTCAGCCTTGATTCTGTTTAGATTGGAAACCTGGCATGTTCCATATATTTGGATTTTAAATCCCATGCGCCCCAGGTATAACCCAGGGGAATGGCTGAATTAACTCAGGTAGTTTATACCTGACTTAATATAGTCAAGTATAAACTACCTGAGTTAATTCAGCCAGTTGAGGCTTTTGAAATTTCAGTTTTTCACTGGCCAAATATCTTCAGCTTTGATAGCATCCCTCCCTGTTGTTCAGGATTCAGGATCACCCTTAATAAATGTTAACATCCTTATCTAGGTTGGCTCCAATGCTATGAACAGATATCTGGGAATAGCCCAAATTAATTTGATGGGACTTACTTCAGGATCAGTGTATGCTTTATTTACAACCTTGGAGAAAAGATCCCAGCCTCCGATGCCCCTCTCCAGATTCTCTTTAAGAAGCAGGGCACCTGCAGCCTCATGGATGCCCCCACCAGCCATCAAACAACCAAGCATCGGCAGGAAACGGTTTCCCTTCAGCCAATCAGAAAGAAGCTTTGCTGTCCATTTTAGAGTCCAATCTTTTTTTAAAAAATATCTGAACAGCTTTTTGGTTTTGGTCTCGAGGGGAAAAACGGCGTTTTTAAGGCACAGTCTTTCTACCGAGTCTGGATTTTTTTTCCTTTTTCCTTTTTAAAGTGCGTCAAGAGACACTTCTCGTCTGTCCCCACGTTACCCCAGCCTTTCATAGGGGTCTTAGCCCGTTCGATCATTATACCGATAGAGTCTCTGATGTATTATAAGGCCGGTAGGTGTTGTGACTGGCGGCTACCTGCTGCAATGAGCTGGGCAGCCGGAGGGGGCAGTAGAGCTGAGAAAAGCCCAGCGTCTGTAACTGCGCCGAAGAAAGCCGGGGAGAGCAGAAAGACGAGGGTCTCGCGTGGAAGGGCTGGTGCGGATGGCGGTCACTCAAAGCCTTGCCCTTGGAGGACTCTAGCAGCAGAGGATCGGGGAGGCTGTAGTGGTAAACGGCGGAGGCCGCCGCCAGAGGGAAAGTAGGGACGACGCCATAAGAGACGGCCGGATGAGCAAGGAGCCGGGAATAGCTTGGGGGGGCGGCCCACGCCACCGCCCGTTCTCCCACTGGCCTCGCGGGGGGCCGCGGCTGCTGTTCGGAAGGCTGGTACGGTCGGCTCAGGATGCTCTCGATGGCGAAGGGGCTGGAGAATTTCGTGCCGACGGCCGAGGCGCCACCGACGAGTCCCACGCCCGATTCCCCCGACAGAGTCTTCTGATCGGCACTCGGGGAAGCGGGCGGGGGGGACGGCTGAGCCGAGGGGGAGCCCCCGGCGGCCGGAGGGAGCCCCGGACGGTTGAGCCGCTTCCTCCTCCTGCGGAAGACGCCGTCGGCGAAAGTGTACTCCGAGTTAGGGTTGAGCATCCAGTAGTTGTCCTTGCCCCACGGCCGGGCCGGGTCTCGCAGCACCTTGACGAAACAGTCATTGAGCGACAGGTTGTGACGCACCGAGTTGCGCCAGCCCGTGTAGGCGCCGCGAAAGAAAGGGAAGCGACCCATCAGATATTCATTGATCTCCGCCAGGGTCAAGCGGCCCCCGGCCGAATCCCGGATGGCCATGGCGATCAAAGCGATATAAGAGTAGGGAGGCTTTGGGCGGCGCGTGTACGGCTTTCCAGACAGTCCTGCGGCCGCTTTACACTCGCCTCCCGGGGAAGGCGAAGGCTCGGGGCCCTGCCGGGGAGAGCTTGCGCAACCACTGGCCGGACTAAGCGCCGCGCAATCCCCGTCGGAGCCCAGCTCGCTCTCGGCGGCCCGCGGGGAAGCTTCGCTGCTGCCTTCCTGGTCGCTGACGCTGTTGCCGCTGAGCTTTTCCTCGTATCGTGGGGCGAAGATCTCCAGCTTCATGGTTGCGCCCCCAACTCTGCTATCCTCTGCCCCTCCCCAGGCAGCCCTTGCCTCCTTCCTCGGGGGAGCTTCTGTCGACCCAAGCTTTGATCCCCGGGAGACGGAGTCAGCAGTTGGCGTACATGTCTACCCGGTCTAAAGTCTCGCAATGGGAGTGGGTGGCTGGGTGGGAAGAATAGTCTCTGCTTTGGGATTCCTGGAAAGGTAAGGCGTGGTTCCAAAGCGCTGGCAGGTGGGCTTTCTTTTTCCCTCTGCAAACTCTCCCAAAAAGGAACCCGAACTCAGCTCATTCCCGCCAAAGTTAGAGTTTGGAGAAAGGTTGCTGATGTCTGTTAAGCTTTAAAAAAAAGAAGAAGAATGTATCGGGCGGGGAGGTGGGGGCGATTTTTGAGACGCGTCTCAAGTGCGGTGTTGTTTTCCCGGCGACGGTCGCTTTCTTAAAAAGCAAGATCAGCGCGTATCACTCACTCCTGGCAGAGGCGTTCGGGTGAACTTTATTTCTGGCTCTGGCTTCTTCCACCATCGGGGCAGGGTTTTAACAAATTTGAACTCTTTTCCCCTAAAAGGTGTCTGACCAGGGCAGGGATGCTTTGCCGTCGCTCCCTCCCTCTCCCTTCCTCGTTTGTCTGCTTCAAGCGGTGAAGCGGAGAGCAACAGGTGGCTGAGAAGTTGGAAGCAACTTCAAATCGTTTCCCTCCGCCAAGCGATTCTTGAGTGTTTTTTTTCTTTCCCCGCAGAAGCTCAAATCCTTCCCGACTGGGATGAAAAAAACCACAGCAGCAAACCACGCAATAAAACCGGCAGTCCCGTTTCCTCCTCCGATCGCGTTCTGGAGCGTTCCCGGCTCCCGAAGGACGCGCCAGTCGGACCCTCTTCTCAGTCCCACGCGGGCGAGCTGCCTTGCTGGCGGGTGCAACAACACTCGAGCTACCGCCGCTGTCATTAGTGGTATATATTGTCATTATCTCTCTCCGGGACTGTCGGGCCAGCCCATTCGAACGCTGGGCGAGAGGGGGAGGAGTTTCCTCCACACTTCCTCCCTCCCCCGAGAGGTTACTGGGTGGGGATGCGAGGTGGTGGCTCGGCCAAGGTGGGCACCGACCAAGCCGCCACCACCGCCGCCAGCGAGCCTTCGCTGGGAAGCCGTTGGTTCCTCTTCTGGCCAAGCCCCGCCTTCTCTCGCTTCTCTCCGTCCAATGAAAGCGCCGCCACGGGTCAGCTCCACCCCTCCGTTCCTTTCTCTTTTGCGGAGCGGGAGCCTCGTCTCAGGTGCGCAGGGCGAGGTGCCGTACAGGTGGCGGTATCCGACCGGCCTCCTACCTACTTTGTTGCCCTTCCACGGCAAAATCGACCTCGGCCCTTCGCAGAATTTTTGCAGGTCCCTCCGGCGGGCCGATCAGTACGCGAGGCCTTAACTTTTCCTTGCTGCTGATTACAGTGAGCAGCGCTCAGCTTGGGGAGGTTAAAAATCCCACACTGGTGCCCCGCCAAAGGGCATCGATCCTCGACCTACCTAGCCTGTTTCTTGGAGTAAAACCCGGGAAGAAATCGGGGTGCTGTTTGAGCTAGATTAGATCCAATAACCACATTTACAACAGAGTGCTGTGTGTATACTTGTAGCGTCAGGCGGCTTAGATCTGGGCAATGCTTGCCAGCCTCCCGGCTGAAAACCTCAGGGCGATTCTTTAAGTCTTTCAGACCTAAGAAAGGAGAGTCATTTCTGAGATGGTCAACAGACTATGCAGTACCTTCCCCAGGGAGCTGTAATAGAATAACAGAGTTGGAAGGGACCTTGGAGGTCTTCTAGTCCAACCCCCCTGCTCAGGCAGGAAACTCTACATCCTATATTCCCCACTACTGCAAACCCTAATCCATTTCAGACAAATGGTTGTCAGATCTCTGTGATTGGCATCAGCACAGCATTTTTGGTACCCCATCAAAACCCTCTCTGTTTGGCTCAAGCATTTTCAGCTGCTTTATTTTTAATTTGGCTAATGTATGTATTTCCTGCCCTTTATTGTTGCAGTAGTCAGGAATTGGTTTACCATTCTGATGTACCACAAAGGCAGCTGTGAAAGAAGTAAAACAAAGAATGAAGTTGTAAAATGCATAATATTCCCAGCCAAATGTTATAATCTTCAATGGGAGAATAATGTCAGCTACTGAATTTCCAGTAGTTGGGATGTTCTAGAAAACAGTAGCCTTTGCTGTGTGAATGTGCCTATTTTTTATATATATTAAAGTGATTATGAAAGCCACAAATTTGTCTGGATTATCTGGAGGGCTTTTTTTTTATTACATTGCCAGGCTTATAAATAAAAACTGCTTGAACTTCAGAATTATTGTTCCATCACTTTGCCCTGGGAAGAAATTGCAGAATTTTATAGGTAAATTAAAAGAATGAATGCTAAGATTCATTTTAATCACACTTCATTTTCTAAATATGTCCAAAGTAGTTTTGGAATATTATATATGTAATATTTCTGAATCTGCAGAAGTGAAATTATATAATAGTAAGCACATGTAGCATGATCTGAAATGCTTGAATTCCATTTTCACTTCTGTTGCTTTTCAAAATTTATATTGAGACAATATGGAAAGTTAAAAAGTTTATGACTTTAAAAATAAATAAATATTGATCTAATAATTGGATTGTCTCATTATTAACAAGCCTGTTTCTGTCTTTTACTGATTTTCAGTGGGACTGAAATGTTGAATGGCTTGTATGCAGAATTTGAAAACTGAATTTTATGGAATATTTCAAGTAAGGAATATGCCAGAGCAAAGTGAAACCTTTATAAATCCTAATTGTTTATATGGAAAAGATGTAAACCTTTAATTACCTCTTCCATTGATCAGTGAGTCTCACAAATAATCATACTGAAAAAAGGTTGATAGGATCATGCCATATGTATTTAAGCTTGCAGTGTTTAATTAAACTGGAGATATTAACATATTTCTTAATGTGCCCTGGAATATTTTACCTAGCTAAAGATTGCTATCTGCAGTTTGATGTGTTACAATTACAAAATGTTGGTGATAGCTGAATTAAAGGAATTGAGAATGTGTGTGTACACACACAGACACAGACACAGACACACACATGGATTGTCTCTCTATCTTCTCTTTCTTTCTGTCTCTCTCTCTGCCAGTCAAACTAGTTTTGTGGCCCAAATGCAAGTTCTCTAACACTATCCTGCTAACTACACTTGGAGGTAGTTTTTTTTTCAAATAAATGTCCTTTCAAGCCTTCCCTCATTATATGCATGGTTTCTCATGCTACTGGATTTTAAAGAATGTTCTCAATTCTCAAAATAAGGTATCAATGTAGGACTGCATTTGTGTGTTGCATATAAATGACAACAACTACCCCGGACAACAATAAGTTATGGCCTAATATAATAAAAGTGCAATGTAATCAATTACATATTGTCGTATACTCAATGCATCATGAATTTAATTTATCTTCAGCTGTGCATACTAAGATATACATATAGCAAGAATTTGTTGCCAGTTTTAACTATCTGAATTAACACCTTATGAGTGGTGTATTGGATAAGGGATTAGAAGTAGGAAGATCCAGGTTCTACTCCTTTGTCAGGCGTAGAAGCCAGATGGGTGATTTTGTGCCAGCCTTCTTCTCTCAGCCTTAGATAGGAACCAACTGGAGCAGCATAGTAGATAAGAGTCTTTAATCTTCAGTGAAGAGACCTTATATACAACACATTTCTTATAGCTACTATGAGATAACGAGTGCCTGGAGCTCTCTGAGCGTTGTAGCTTGCAGATGTTTTGTAAGGAAATGTCTACAAGCAAACAACCAAGCTCAGATAACAACAAGGACTCTACAATTCAATCCTGAGCTACGTATATTCTCTTCAATTGGTACTGTGAATTAAGCATGTTTTTGGAAGAGCTGTTTTCACCTGAAACTAATCCATTGTTTTTCAGGAGGATAATTATATCAGTCTGTTGCAGCACGCTTTGGTAAACTAAGGTCCACTTCATCATATATACTGTATAAGATATCATCTGAGATTGACAAATAATGTGTGGGTGTCTTCCAAGATAATTGTAGGAGACAGCAGGTTATATATAGTGTATAACATGTAGTTATCTGTTCAAACAATTGTATAATTTATACAACATTTTCTAAGTCATGTAGAAGTCTAGATGACACAATCTGTAATATTAGTGTTTATTTTAATAGTTGTAAAGTACCAAAACAGATGTTCTTTTTAACAGTACCACTGCTTTTAAAAATCGTTCTGCTAGAAGCCATTCAAAGTTTGAACAGAAGGGAATGAATAAATCCCTTCCTTTCTTCCTCCATGATCACCAAACATGATTCCAAATGCTTTCTAAAACAATGTTTCAATTTCCCTAAGATTAATTCATCTGTATGGTATATCTGGTTGTATTAAGAAAATATCTTCCAAACACAATATTAGATGTGTTTGGAAGTTTCATTTTGAGATAACGTTGCAACCATTTTAATTTATTTCCACCTAAAACAGTTACATATAAAGCTGTTAAATACAAAACATCTGACTAAGAAAATAAGAAACAGCTCTATATATTGGTTCAAGCACCATTGACCATAGTGGAAATTACTTTTACAAATACATGCATATGGCCTCTCATGTTTATCTAAGAACTAGGAAATTAAGATACATATCACTCTATAACCTACTCCTTGGTAAACTAGAAAAAGGTTGAATAGACAACAACAACACCAGATGGATCTGTAGCTGGCTGACAAACTGTACTCAAGGTGTAGTCCTCAATGGCACTACATCCACATGGAGAGAAGTAAGCAGTGGGGTACCACAAGGTTTTTAGGCTCAGTATTCTTCAATATCCTCATAAATGACTTAGATGAGGGAATTGAAGGGGAACTCATCAAATTTGCAGATGATACCAAACTGGCAGGAGTATCCAACACCCAAGAAGACAAACTCAGGATTCAAAAAGATCTTGACAAACTTGAACAATGGGCCCTAGCCAACAAAATGAGTTTCAATATGGAGAAAAGCAATGTTTTACATTTAGGCAGGAAAAAATCAAAGGTACAAGTACAGATTGGGTGAGACTTGGCTTAAAAACAGTAACTGTGAGAGGGACCTTAGAGTTGTACTCCTAATAAAAAAAGCTAATATAATCCTGGGTTGTATAAACAGAGGCATAGAAACAAGATCATGCAAATTATTAGTACCGCTTTATAAAACCCTAGTAAGACCACACCTAGAATACTGCAGCCAATTTTGGTCACCATATCACAAAAAAGATGTTGAGAGTTTAGAAAAAAATTCAGACAAGAGTAACCAAGATGATCAAAGGCCTGGAGACTAAAACATATGAAGAATGGCTGCAGGACTGGAGTTTGGCTAGTCTAAAGAAAAGAAGAAATAGGGGAAATATGATAGCAGTATTCCAGTATTTGAGGGGCTGCCACAAAGAAGAGAGGGTCACGTTATTCACCAAAGCACCAGAGGGCAGGACAAAAAACAATGGTTGGAAACTGATCAAAGAGAGAAGCAATTTGGAATTAAGGATAAACTTCCTGACAGTGAGGACAATTAACCATTGGAATAGTTTGCCCCCAGGAATCGTGGTCGCTCCATCACTGGAGATTTTTAAAAAGAGGCTAGACAATCACCTGTTTGAGATGATATAGATTCTCCTGCTTGAGCAGGGGGCTGGACTAGAAGACCTCCAAGGTCCCTTCCAGATTCTATTCTATTCTATTCTATTCTATTCTATTCTATTCTATTCTATTCTATTCTGGAAATAATTACACAAAATCTTCACTATAACGTATTTTATGTTCACTTGTTTTGTTGAAGTTGTTAAAATATGAATGATATACTTGATGAACATCTAATATCAGACTTATTTAGTAGCCGTTGATAAATTAATTTGTAATGAATTTCTCTGAATTAAACTATCAATGCCTACTAAATATGACGGACTACAAAGTGTTTCGAGAATCAGAGGAACCTAGCCTCTGGATGCTGAGAAGACTATCAGAAGAATTCTATAACCTTCTCTGGTGGTCTTTTGTGGAAAATGAGATATTGACTAGAGTTAGCTTTTCCACCAGGATTCTTGGTGAATATAATGGATTGTAGAGAAATCTGAATCATCCAGGAGAACGAGCCTGTGCAAGAAATGAAAGCAAACCCTGGCTTTGAGAAAACATGAAAAAGAAATATTACAGTGGTACAGATAGTCCTCAACTTATGAACACAATTGAGTCCAACATTTCTGTTGTTAAGTGAGTTTGCTTTTGATGACCTTTCTTGGCACAATTGTTAAGTGAATCACTGCAGTTGATCAGTTAATAACCTGGTAAGTGAATCTTGCTTGTTAGAAGGTGATAAACATGAATTTGGAACACAGCAAGTGTCATAAATATAAACTGGTTGCCAAGCATCTGAATTTTGATCACATGATCATGGGGATGCTCCAAAGGTCATAAGTGTGAAAATTGGTGGTAAGTCATTCTTTTCAGTTCCGTAATTTTGAACGGTCACTAAATGAATTGTTGTAAGTTGAGGATGACCTATACTCTGTATTGGAATACTAAAGCAAAAGCTAAAGAGTCATTAGGAATTGTGATAAAGATTGGAAGTCCTTTCTTTATATATATTTCCTTTCTCTATTATATTTTTATCTTTTCTTCCCCCCCTTGCATTTGTACTCCTCTCTATTTTTTCTTTAAGATTAATATGATGGATTTTATCATTATAACCAGTATTCTTAATAAAAAGTTATTATTTTTTTAAAATAAATTAGCACAATTGGGAAGTCTTTTAAACAAGCTTAAGGAACTTCAAATAGTGGCCGTTTATGCTTTTTTTTTTTTTGGCAGCTTGGGTTATTTCCATGTCAAAGTAAAATGCTTAATCACAGTTAATGAAATGAACATGTTCTATGTCTTGGGGACCAGACTGAAGAAAAGAGAGATTACTTTTCATTTTGTCAAAACAAAATCAAGAACCACATTGCCAAGATTGACTCAAGACATCTTGGTTGAACCAATAGACGCGCTGATCAAGCATTTTGGCAACTCAAAAAGCACTTCTTATCTTTTGGTTAATAAAAACTCAACAAGAACAAATCAAGAAAGAAACATTTTACTTGTTATTTCATGAAAATCAAAATTATCTGCTGGACCTGCACTTCTCGACACAAATGGTAAGATTTGAGATTTCTAAAACAATATGAGCATTTCAGATCTTGTCAGATCTATTATTCTACCTAATTCTGTTTTGTGCTTCTGACAGCATCTTTCTGAAGTATAGGGCCTGTGGTCTTTCTCTTGATAAAAATAAAAATTCTTCAAATCAGAGACCAAGTTGCGCTCCAAATTGCTGCTGAACTATATAGCTCCTACTGATTGCAACTAACAGGGCCAATAGTAGGTATGCTGCAAGTTGCATTTAAGCAATATCCCATAGCAGAGTCAATTTGAAACAATCTTAGCTATTCCAGTTTTAAAATAATGTTTCCCCTCTTCTCAATTTTCGCCACTGGTGTGATCTACAATGCTTTCTAGTCTATACAATTGACCGCACAGTCAAGATTTGAGATCTGCCCATGTCCTATTGGCCACTTTCGGAATTATGGGCATTTCCCTTTTCCCCACCAGTCATTGGGGATTTCAGAGTCATTTTGGCTTGGATTGCTAGAAAGACAAGAGAGCTGGTTTCTGTGGAAGCATCTGACTACATATGGTTCTTCCTACTCATGGGTTTGATGCTTTTTTCTGAAAGAACAGTAAACTTTAAAAACATACACACACACACACATTTTAAAATAACGGAATACTGGTTTTGTCTGTCCAGTCCCTGAAGCTTTTACATGAATTGATTGCTTTCGCA